CCGCTATCCTCTTCAGTTGGGTTCACGATTTCCCATAATCTCATATCTCTTCCAACTTTCACGATCCCTTCCATGTGACCCTAACACCAACGACCCACTCGTCGCTTCTCATTGGGATTCCACTTGAACCATGGCCTGTACTAAGCATTATATCATTCGACAGCCTTCTCAATGTATACTCTATCCATCCAGCTCCATTTTCCCCCACATATTTTTAGCCATCGACTCTCGGTTGGTTTTTTCCCAACCAGAGTTTCTTGTCGCTTATTCTTTCTGGCCAGCCGGCTGGCCATTTAACCTTCAATGTGAAGCCAGAGAAAAGTGGAGCTGTTGATAAAAGTCTGCAGTTGGTCTATTGGAAATGCGTTTTGTGCCACCTATGCCAAATTTCTGACCCGTATAGAAGAACTAACTGACTGACTTCACAATTGTGTTGAAAATTCGAATCTTGCTCTTTATTCTCTCTTTCTGAAAAGGACTACGAGTACAAAGTGAAATGTTGATGTGCTAATTAAACTCTACATTTCACTCGTAACCAAAGTGACAAATAATAATTATTAATATTAAATCCAATTCTTGAAAATGAATCCACCGCTTATATTGATGAATGACTACGGATTGGTTTTCCTGGAGCTACTGTAAGAATTTTTGTGACAGGTGTCGTCCACCTAATCAGCCATAAGGACAGATATTCCCCGATGACTTTGGCTTGCGTTGTCACTATACTACGAATTAACAAAAGTTACAGTTCATAGATGACGAGAAACCGATCCACTGACTGAATGGTGGTGTGCCATCATCGTCACCTGAAGGTGTTGGTTTCGACCTCTGGTGCCTGTGCGTATGTGTGTGTGTGAGATGGGTTCATTCCACTGAAGTGTTTCAAACTGAGATGGAACAGCTGTTCGGTACTCCCTGGTTTTCGTTCGTTCTCTAACTACAGTTTACAATGTCATCTACATTGAGAATGTCTTTCGTTAACTTGGATTTCACTGTCTAGAATGACTGCCTACCTCGTGGCTAGAATTAGTCACTCCTAAGTATAATTAATTTGAAAACTAGCCGACTCCAAAAGTGGAAATCAAATACACAAACTATATATGATCACGTAAGTCATTAGAAAATTGTTAATAAGTAAAACGAAATATCCCAAAAAATATATTGTGGGCTAAACTCATTTAGTTGGGAAGTACCATCAGCCCCAACGGGTTGATCTCCGACGAAATTTCAGCACGAATACAGAGGGCTAGGTTCGCATTCGCCAGTTTTCGCCGTCTCTGGCGTAGACGCGATATCCGACTATCGACCAAAGGGCGTGTGTACTGCTCAACAGTCCGCTCCGTCCTCCTTTATGGCTGTGAGACCTGGCCATTGAGAGCAGAAGACATGAAAAGATTAGCTGTCTTCGATCATAGGTGTCTGCGTTCTATCTCCCGCGTGAAGTGGTATAATAAGGTGAGCAATATTGAGGTTAGGCGTCGAGTGCTAGGTAAGGCGGGGAAATCAATCGACGAGACTGTGAAATTACTTCGACTGAGATGGTTAGGACATGTGCTACGTATGCCTAGTCATCGCCTTCTTCGACAACGGACAATATTAGCTGATATAGGGTCAGGCTGGAAAAGAGCTAGTGGCGGTCAAACCAAAACATGGCACCAGTCAATGAAATTTACAACAGTTAGTCTAGGCCACGTAGAAAGGTGAAGACTTCCTGGCTAGTTGGGGTCCTCGGGACGGTAAAAACCAGTGGTTGGAAACAATTGGTGACATGGCTCGAAATCGTTTTCAATGGCTAGTGCAGATGCGTCCACTCCTTGTAACTTATGATTTCCAATTGAACTGTTTTGTTCTTCGATATTACTATTCCTTTGTCTCACACCACTGTTTACTGTCTATATTATGCATTTCTTCTACTTCCTTCTCTTGCTTTGCGTGCTACATAGATTGTGGCGACTTGAACTGCCGCACATATATGCAAAGTTCTATGTCGAATACAGACAGAGACAGACAGATGATATAATTAATCACTTAAGGGAATAGTCTCTTTGACTTAGAATATGCAGATGATATAGTTCTGCCTCCTAGGTGAAGACACTGACGAAACACAGATTGCTCTGAACAACCAGAGGAGTAGCACTCTTTGAATGTTTCACATTTTGATTCGTTCCTGTCAAATATGTAAGATGACGGTGCTACAAGACTGGACTGGACTATATCGACAGGGAGTGAATTAGTGGAGAATATTGCCAACTTTACTTTTTTGGGAAGTTGTATCAGCACGGATACAAATGGCTGGTGTTCTCATTTGCCATCCTGCATCATGTCTAGCAAATATGTGATATCCGACTATCGATCAAAGTACGACTATAGTGCGCAACAGTTCTCTTTTTCCTTCATTTAACACCTGTAAGACATGGTCATTGAAAGTGGAAGACACAGAATGACTGACTTTCTTTCATCACAGATATTTGTGTTCTGTCTATCGTGTTAAGTCGTATAATCGAGTCAGCGAAACTGAGGTTAGGCGTAGAGTGTTAGTTGAATAGGACAAACCAATTTGATGAATTTGTCAAGCTTCATCGACTGAGAGATGGCTAGAACACGTGTTGTGCATGCCAAACCATCGCTTTCCTCGACAAGTAATATTAACTGACATGAAGGTTAGATTAGAAGACAGTTAGGGATGTTTTTTAAAAATTCCTTTACGTTCCCAGTGGAACATAGGGCTTCAAGCTAGAGCTTTAAAGTTTCGTTAACAGTGTTTACTTTTACGGGATGGGTTTGCTAGCCACATAACCAACCTTCCCTATTTACCAGTCTTATTAGCGACCTAACGAGGTAAAGGAGTGCGTCGGCCGAGGGTCGAACGCTGGACCACATGTGGCGTGGTTGGCGAGCATTCAACCGCTAAGCCACCGACTCATGAGTTAGGGAATGGTCAAATCAAAACTTGACATCAATGTCTGAAATCTCTAACAGTTGGTTTCAGTCATGTAAGGAGGTGTAAACTTCTTGGTTGGTGTCCTCCTGTAGGCAGACTGTTAGTGAGATGGTTCAAAATCCTTCTCAATGGTGCAACCTCCTATATCCATCAAGCAATCGTGTTTTTCCATATATAATATTCTATTTTGCATATATTTCTGCTGGATTTATTAAAGTTCCTTTGAAACTACTTTTCTCGCTCTCCTCAACTTTTGTATTCTACATGGAGTATAGCAACATGAAGTGCTTTTGTACTTCTGTGCAAGGTTATGTGTTTGAAATTCCCTTGAAGATAGCATCGAACCCAGTGGAGAATAACTGTCTATAATACCAGCTATTCTTCCTCCTCATTTTCTCTATAAATCTTCTCTATTTTCAAGTATTGATTTTGTAGGGGATTTTTCTTGTTTGATTAGTGCTCACTAGCGACTGGCCCTATTCAGGCAGTGACCTGAGGTTCTAGTGGGAAGCCGTGACCAGTAGGGTACAGCAGGTTGAAGGTGGGGCAGTAACTCATTGCAGAAGATATTGCGAAGTGGTCACTCGATGTCACGAATTGGCAGAAGTTAGAATTCATGGTCTGGCAAGTGGCTTAATGATCTACGAGCTCGCTGGCCTTGTAACCAGAAGGTCGTGGGTTCGAACCCTGGCGGTGGGAGCGTACTGCTGAAGAGTTCCAAACTAGGCTGACGAAACAGCTGGCGGTCCAGTACTCCCTGGCTGGTTTTCCAATGGTTCTCTAACTGATGTCAGCTTATGATGAAATCCTCCAACCAAATCTTCTCTATACTTTCAAGAATTAGTTTGTAGGGATTCTGTTTGTTTCACGGATTGTTATCAATTGGAGTATTGGACAGCCGTTTCATCCCAGTTTGGAATCATCGGCAGTACGTACCCACTGGGTTTCGAACTCACGACCTTCCGGTTACAAGTAAGCAAGCTCGTACGTAGACCATTCAGTCACTGGGACCCGATTCAATGTCCAAATTCGTGATGCATTTAGCGTGACCACCAATCATTGTCATCGGCGAGAAATTCATCTTCCCCCCTCCCGACTGGATGGACCTCATTTCTCACTAGAACTCACTTTAGGCAATTTCGTTCTGTAGACAGTCAGTCACTAGCGAGCATCACACGGTAAAATCACGAATTGGTAGGAGTTTTACAATTCATGGACTGGCCATTGAATCGGGTCCCAGTGGCTGATTGGTATACGAGCTTCTCTATATTATTTATCGTTATGTGATTCAGAGAGTTGGCGTGTCACCAAAAGTACTTCCAATATGCACTTCAGACTTTTACTAATAACTGCCGACATTGGCTCCATACTGAAGGTCAGATAGCCTGTCAGAATAGATTAGCAACAAGAAACTCTGGAGACGAACCAACCAGGAACCTACTTCCCAACAGATTCTTCAAATAAAATCAAGACGGACTGAACACATGTTGAGGAGATCATTAAGTGACGTTACTAGCTGGGTAGGCCTTCAAGTAGAAGCCGAATAAGAAACAACGAGTTAGGCGTTCAAGATTGACATGGAGGAGATCGTGTAAAGAGGGAGTCAGAGGTTATGCACAGTTACTGAGCCAGTTAAAGTCGACTGTAGAGAACTCGGGAGATAGGGAGATGGGCTTCTGAAGACACCTGTGTTCCACTTGGAACCTAAGGGAATAATAATAATATTATCATTTGACATATTCGTCCGCCAATCAAAATCATCCTAGACAGTTTAGTCAATCATATTTCGAGTTGTTTTTCTTTTTTGGCACACACACACACACACAAATATACACATATACAGTTAGGTGTGAAAAGGTTAAATAAATCAATAAATCAATCGATCGATGAAAAAAACAAACATAGAAATGGCCAATGTACAACACACCGAAAGCACACTGTGGTGGAAAGGGGGTTGACATGTATGTGCGTGCGTGTGTGCATGCGTGATGGGTAGTCATGGTTTACTATGAAAAGAAAACAGAGAAAGAACCAGCATTGGAGGGGGGGGGCAGGAGGTTGGAAATAAATAATCAAAAAGGCGGAATATAAATCTGAGAAAGAAAACGTTTTTCTTTTTCTAAATCTGGTCTCCGAAAAACAGATAAAAATAAAAATAAATCTGTAGAAAATTAATAGCTGTGATGTCAATAGTAAAATAGAATCCTTTATATGAAGATAATTAGCTCTCAGATGAATATTTTTGGTGTTATTGTGATCTCTAGGCTCTAGATTGAATGTGGGGGGGGGAGGAAGGGGCTTAATTCTGTCGATTTCACTGTTATTCTAGATTTTGCGTTGGACCCAGCACTGAAGATATTGTCTAGGAAGACAATGGAACGTTCTTGATTAAAGTGAATCTAGTGGAACACAAAATAATTACATTGAATAATAAAACTTTGTTTGTTTGTTTGTATTCTGGTTTGATTCGGTCATTTCTTTTTTTTATATTAAATGACATAATCTACTCTCTGGTTTTTCATTTAATTTTTGTGTAGTTGACTGTGTTTTATGATTACTAGCCTTTGAATTGTCAGTGTGTTCAGTTGATTTTGCTGATTGAGGGAATGTTTGACGTTTGGTTGGATCCTTGTTCTGACTACTGCTACTGCTTTTGTTGTTGTTGGTGGTGGTGGTGCTGGATTCTGTTTCACGAGGACTGTTCCTTATTCCAGGAGATGTTGAACTTTTAATTGTGGAAAGAGTATTTTTAAACCTGGTTGAATTGTCTTCATTATTATGAGTACTACCGACATTGTGCATCATGTGATCTAGTCGACTGAGACGTCTTGATCTGTTTTTCAAACATAAAAAGACACAGAAAAGAGAAAAAATCCAATTAATGACACTGGAAATTGAGAAGTGCATCTCATATTTCAAGAAATATTATCAAGGTATAACTTTTAATACTTAAATTACTTTATTTCACATAAGCCTGTTTCACCAAAGAGATGTGGAGCAAAGGAAATACTGGGCTGAACACTCCAAAAGACTTCTAAATCAACAGCTAACAACAGTGCGCCCAATAATACCAACAGCGGAAGCAGCACCGCTACCAGTGGACATCAATCCTCCGACGAGAACAGAAGTCCTGAAGGCAATCAAGATGCTAAAAGCTGGAAAAGCAGCAGGACCAGACGAAATCCCAGCAGAGGAACTGAAAATGGACCCAGAGACATCAATGGACCTGATGACACTACTACTGGAGAAGGTGTAGAAAGAGGGAAAGGTACCTGCGGATTGTAAGAAAGGCTACTTATTCAAACTGCCAAAGAAGAGGGACTTAAGTCAATGCAAGAATTGACGCGGAGTTATGTTTCTGTCCACCCCAAGCAAAATACTAAGCTGCATCTTCCTGGATCGAATCAAACACACCTTGGATGAAAAACTTCGACTGGAACAGGCTGGATTCAGGAGGAACAAGTCATGCATCGATCAAATCGCAACACTACGGATCATCATTGAACAGAGCTTGAAATGGCAGTCAGCTCTCTACCTCACTCAACTTCACTCACTTTGAAAAGGCCTGCAGCAGGCAGCGTCGATCGAGTGGTGATTTAGCAACTACTTCGCTACTACGGGGTGCCGCCAACAATTATATATCTCATCCAACAGTTGTCAGATAATGCTGCATGCCAAGTAATCCACGATGCGAAACTCACGGAATCCTTCGGAGAAGTGAAGACAGGAGTAAGACAAAGCTGGCTGGCTGCCTACTATCTCCAATGATTATACTGTTTGCGGTAGACTGGATAATGCGACAGACAGAGGCGGACAGCGAGGAAACAGGCATAAAACGGAACCACACAGAAATCTTGGAGGATCTGGATTTTGCCGATGATATATGTCTAAATTCCCACAAACTGGAAGATATGCAAGTGAAAAGCAACAAGTTAGCAGAAGAAGCATCAAAAGAAGAAGGGACTTCAGGCGAACATAGAAAAAACAGAGGTGATGAAGATTCCTGGACAACAACAACAACAGACAACGATCAGCATAAATGGGAGGAACCTGAAAGAAACAACCTCTTTACCACCCACCTGGGAAGCATCGTTTCAACTACAGACGGACGGGACTGACGAGGATATCAAAGCAAGAATCGGAAAAGCAAGACAAGCTTTCACTACTCTCAAGTCTGTGTGGAGGTCAACAGCACTCAGAATCAAAAATAAGATCCGGATTTTCAACTCCAATGTGAAGTCAGTACTACTCGCTACACGGATCAGAGACTTGCACTGCGCGTCATAAAGAGCATCTCAAACAAACTACAGACCTTCATCAACAGCTGTCTTCGTTCAGTACTCAAGATCAAATGGCCAGCCAGAAAAGATCGGAAACAGGGTAGGTTCTCTGGGAGCGAACCAACCAGGAACCGATTGTGCAACAAATAGGTAAGAAGAAATGGAGATGGATTGGCCATTCTTCGGGAAAACAAACTATCAAGTGACATCACATGCCAGGCCATCCCTCGAGTGGAACCCAAATGGGAAGTGGCGAGTTGGTTGTCACTGCGAGGGGGACATGGAGGAGGTGATGAGAAGAGGAGATGAAAGCATGTGGGCAGACGTGGAGCCAGGTGAAAACGTGGGCGGAGAACCGAACGCAATGAAGAGGTGCGGCTAAAGCCTTATATTCCTCTAGAAACTAAAGGAAACAATAATAATATAAGCCTGTATGTGATTGGTTTGTAAACGTTTCGTCATCAACCTAGATAACATAATCAGTGCATATATCAAGTTCAGATGATAGAGTTTGTGGATATTACCTCATCATGTATTGCTGACTAACTTTTAGGCACATTAATTTTTGTCTGTGAAGATTAGATCCCTAGTTTGATATTAGGTGTGCATTGCTGAAAGATTTTTCATTAGAGTGCTTTATTGGATGGCTCCTAGCTGTTAATGGCTTTGCTGACGATGTCAATTTGTGTCCGAATCTATCTGTAAACCGATATTTCAGATACTGTACATCTAGTTCCGGTCAACAGATGGACAATAATTAGTAAGTTGTGTAATTTGTCTAATCTTCTGTTTGTTGCAAACTGAATTCTATCATTCAAGTTTGAAAAGTATCAAAGTATCTAATACAGTCCTACAGGAGGTTAGTCGCGTGTTCGATTCTTAGAAAGGAGATGAGTTCTTTTAAGATCGCGGATTCGCCTTGCTGACTGATGTGTGCTGTCTAGCACGAAAACTAGATCGAATTCTTCCTGTGGGCGATTGCCAGAAGATAAAAATGTCTAGTCAATTAATGTTACTGACAGACTGGTCGTGTTGTCTCGAGTTTCGTCTTATTTTGGACTCGTCATCTGGATATTCCTCCACTGGAAATCGAACCTATCACATCTCATGAGAGTCAACTCATGTACAAGGAGGATGAGTTGTTATTTGCTGAAGCGTCCTCTGCCAGAAGCTGCCGAGGGTTTCAATCGCATAAAAATCAATTAACAGAGAAATTCAAAGTAAAAGTAATTTCAAGTATTGATTCGCTGGGATTTGATTGGTTGCAGCTTTGATCACCAGCTAACATCGATTAAAAAATCATTGGGAAACGAGACAGTTCTGGACAGCTTTTCCGTTTTTGTTTGGGAGTATCCAGCTGGTGATCAATCCTGCAACCGATTAAACTCCTACAAACCAACACTTGAAAATTAATGTGATACTCACTGATGACTAGTTCTATACAGGAAGTTTCCTGGAGTTCTGGTGAGGTCATAATCAGCCAGGTTTACCAAGTCAGCTAAGAGATCACTTACTAGCTTATGACACCCGGTGAAAGTTACGCTTATACATTGTGAATTCGCAGAGGTCAGAGTTCGTGGACTATTGGATAGGCTGAATTGTAAACCAGCTCGCCTAGTCAGCCGAAGGTCCTGGGTTCAAGCTCCCTGTGTTAGGTGACTTCCTCTGAAGAGCCTTAAACAAGGACGAAACAGTTCTCCAGTTTTCTGTGGTTTCCCATTGGTTCCTTTAACTGATATCAGCTTGTGAACAAATCTCTTATAATAATTTCAACAAATAATCATGTTTTGTTCTACTCACCTATGAATTTTATGCAACATAATACGATATGCACCAGTGACAGCACTTCTTGACTCATAATTGTATGAACTTTTTATCTCTTCAGTTGTAATGCCTAAATTTAATAATAACTTAGCAGCTTCTATTTCATCATTATCGATTGAATTTCTTGAAATTGTATGACATCTTATTAATTTTCCGCATGATTTTCGATTGCTACTGTCATGCACTACTGATTTGTTTAAGTCATTTTCAGAAGTAGTATTAATAGTATTGGTATTGGTGTTGTTAGTTGTATCTTCTGATTGTTGATTGGTTGATTCAGAAGTCGTAGGTGTTTCTTTTGAATTTGACGTAATTTGATTGGTTGTTGAGGGTTCTGTGTCAAGTGATTGTTTTTTATCTGTTTGACTATTGGTCAATTTAGTGTCTGATGTTGATGAGATTGGCTGTAGCACTGAATTTGAAGGAAGCTAAAATATAGAAGATATGCACATATATATATATTTCCGTATAGATAATCTGTTAGAGGATAAAGTGCAAACAAATTTGCATAAAAACTATATACTACTGATTGACTGAGATAAGTAGTTGCTTACCACTTACATCAACCAGGTTGGTTTGAGCTGATTCAGCTTTCTGAGCTCATTCAAACGCTCGTAATCATATCAAGTCACTCACGCAACTTTTTTCCTTCATTTATATACATGTGTGGAATCGATTAGATATTGGAATAAAAATCAATATGAGATAATATACATTCAGAAATAATAATATGAGTGTCATTCACTAAATACAATCAGATGGGAAATAAGACGAGTGTCTTTATATTCATAATAAGTAACTTGTTAGAATGTTGTGATGTGCTTGAATTGAAATAGAATTTTGAGATCATTTATTATCCTCCTGTGATTTGACTGGCTGGTGGTAATAATATCTTCCATACATATCTCTGGTGTTTGCATTGAGTCATTTCTGTTGCATGTGTTGGGTGTAGACTCAATGAACTAGGCAGGATTCAGTAATCAGTTTCTCTCTCTCTCCACCTACTTAGATTACCTTTTAGAATTTTAACCCTATCCCATCCACCCTATTGTGTGGTTGTGTGTTAATGCATGCAGTGCAATCGCTGAACTTTTTTCTAAATTACTTATCTTCTCAGGGTTAACCATTCTTACCTTAGCTAAATTCTTATGTTCCGACAATCTGACTACCCCCGACCTACTAGTTTGACCTATGTAGTTGACCTCACAGTCATTGCAGGGTATTTTGTAAATTATATTATTTTATCTAACTGGGTCCACCGGGTCTTTTAGCCTACAGAGCTTAACTTCCTAAGTGAATTTGTAGTTTGAATGCCACCCTAATTCCTGCTTTATTCAGAATTCTACGTAGGGAGGGTTTCAGATGTCCCCTCCTTATGTGGTATAACAGTGGATGACTTATATTCTTTCTTATTTATGTTATCATTACTAGTTTCACAATTATTTTTATTTTGTTTTTGGCCTTTACTGATCTTCCTAATGAATTTTATAGGATAGTTAATTTGTTTAACACCAACGCTTCTTCTATCTGTTTTATTTCGTCATTTATTATGACTATAAAAACACTCGTCTTATTTCCCATCTGATTGTATTTGGTGAATAACACTCATATTATTATTTCTGAATGTATATTATCTCATATTGATTTTTATTCCAATATCTAATCAATTCCACACATGTATATAAATGAAGGAAAAAGTTGTGTGAGTGACTTGATTTGATTATGAGCAATAGTTTGTGCTTGAAACGTGGTCACATCAGTTAATATTACTGTGCAACACTGTGTGATTTATCAAAATAAAATCTTATTCATAATGGAGTTATGCTCTACCACACAGTGCTCAAGTTTTATACTTATATCATTCAAACGCGGTGCACCATTGGTAAGCTCAGTCCCGAACGAGAGAAATGGCTATCCGGTGTTTCGATCTGGCTAGCAAGCTCTACTGGTTGACATGAGTGTATGTAACTACTCACCTAAGTCAATCAGTAGTATAGAATAATAGTAATAATCTGCTTTATTCCAAGACAAACAGTACTTATAATACAGAATGGAATGCTCAGCATTTGTCACAATATTGCATCTGATTTACTCAAAATATAAACATAAAAATTAACCAGAGGAATTTGTCCACATTTACAGCAGGAATAAAGTCAAAAATGTGCCAAGTACAAAATGAGAATAATAAATATAATAACAATAATAAGAGTGAGTTTGTTTCAAACAGTATTATCGACTCAGTTTGGAAATTGTAGCATGTTATAAAGTATTGAGCGTCGGTGGTACAGCGAGGGAAGGTTGGGCATGAGGCTAGCAACCTCATCCCGTAAAAATAAACACCACTGCTACAGGAACTAAAAGCCTCTAGCCTGAATCCCTATGTTCCACTGGGAACATAAAGGAATAAAGAAACAAGAGTGTCCAGTCTAAGGTTCTCTTGATATAGCATGGTGAGGGGAAAGACAAAAATTAACAAATATCACACAGCTTAAGTAATGTTCACACTTATGAGAAAATAAACAAAACAAAAAAATTGAGAGGATTATGAATATAAGAAGAACAATAACAATAAAGCTTGTGTAACTTTCTATAAATTTTGGGTAAAACCCGTACAATACAATGATCGGAGTTAAACAGTGGTGCTCTTTTACGAGCTTCATATATTCCCGAGTCATTTGTGAAATACAAGATCAAGAGAAGTATCCAGTCTGGTGGGAAAGTTAACGACATTTTCATGACCTAGCACTGTAAGAAAACTGCGGTCACAAGAGTTAAAATCACCTGTCATTATGGACACTGAGTTACCAAAAGAGGCGGCAGTGGAAATAGTGAATTCATCAGCAAACATAGTTAGTTCTGAAGTACTACTACTACAAGGTGTGACATAAGTGTTTGTTCGGTTGATATTTAACAGTTATACAGTCAATATTATCATTTGAGAATTTAAAGCAGACTTTGTTGGCAACAAAACACTGCGAATTAAATAAAAGTAGCGACTCCACCACCTCGCTTTTTCCTTGAACTGCTTTGGTCTTGTCTGCACATAGTGAAACCATTTAGGGAGACTAAACTGTCATCATATGAATCGTGGGGCCAAGTTTCTGAAAGCGTTATTACACCTCCCACAGTGTTATACAGTAATAATATCAGTAAATATTACTGTATAATACTGTGAGACTCTATCAAAATAAAATTTACCCATAATGGAATTACACTCTACCACAGCGCCCAAGTTTTATTCTTATATCAACGTTATTACACCTGTATTACGATAATTATTTGAAAATAAGAGAGCATGCAAGTAATTAATCTTGTTCGACAATGACCTGCAATTTGTTCTCATAATCACAGGAACAGTCATCTGATGCATTGGAGTACACTTCAAGGCTCGTTGCCATCCACCATAATGCTTTTTCTTGAGTTTATTAGATACAACTAAGTCAGCAGGTTGAAAACATTTTAAATAATCGCCAGAATAAATGATACGATTTGGACACATAATTGGATAATTAAAACAAAATAAATCCGAGTAATCATATGCAATAAATAAATGATGGAAAATTTTGGTAGCCCAAGGTTTAAGCAGGCCGCCGAATAACTTAACAAACTTAGCTTCATTCAAATTTGCTTGCTTTTATGATTCCAGTTTATACTGTCAAGAAGATCATGTATTGTGGTGTGATCTAGATAATTTGGTTTCTAGAAGAAACTACTGCGAAATCCCCGCCCGCCCCCCTCACGAACTGTGTAGACCGAAAATTGTTAACCGATTTACAAATTTTCAAGTATTAGTTTCGTAGGGATTTTTTGTTTGATTGGTTGGAGGATTTCATCATGAGCTGACATCATTTAGAGAACCATTGGAAAACCTGCCAGGGAGTACTGGACCGCCAGCTCTTTCGTCAGCCTGGTTTGGGACTCTTCAGCAGTACGCATCCACTACTGGGATCGGATCCAGTGGTCAGTGCATGAATTCTAACTTCTGCTAATTCATGACATAGCGCGACCACTTCCCACTGACTTCTTCTATGTGTTACTGCCCCACCTTCAACCTGTTGCGCCCTACTGGTCACGGCTTCCCATTAGAACCCCAGGTTAATTGCCTGAATAGGGCAAGTAGTCGCTAGTGAGCATCAGATTAATTTTCAAGTATTGGTTTTGTAAGGATTGTGTCTGATTGGTTGGAAGGTTTCATCATAAGTTGACATCATGTCATGAATTGGCAGAAGTTGGAATTCATGCACTGACCACTGGATCCGATCCCAGTGGTGGATGCGTACTGCTGAAGAGTCCCAAACCAGGCTGACGAAAGACCTGGCGATCCAGTACTCCCTGGCAGGTTTCCCAATGGTTCTCTAACTGATGTCATTTCATGATGAAACCTTCCAACCAGTTGATTTACAAATTATGAATTTGATTTAAAGCACAATGAGCCTCTTGAAGAGAAAGATAGACCACAGAGTTCAGTGGATAATTGCTTGATGGGGATTCAGGAATTTCATTTGTACAAAGACCTTACCATAGGATATAAATCACCACTGCAGAGTAGCTGCTGTATGCCTAACCATTTTTCCGTCTGACACTCACCTCAATAATGTGAACAGAATAGCCATAAAACCAGCCCCTTGTCTTAGTCAACAGAATTCGTTGGGTCATTGCAACACGAATGTCCGACCGCTATATCAGTAGGGAGATACCTCCAGGAGAGAGTTATATTCCTTCTAGAATAAGTTCATCCCTTTAGAAAAACATCTGCAACATCAATATCAAATCAGTGCTTCTTTATGAGGTCCAAAGACCTGCCACTGTCGTCAGCCTACTGCAGATTTTCATCACTACCTTCACCCTTTACTCCATACTGAAGATCAGGTGGCCATAAACAATAAGTAACAAAGAACTCCGGCAGTGGACAAACCGAGATCCTATTGCCTAACAAATATGCAAACAGAAATGGAGATGGATAGGAGCAGATCACTGAGGAGACTGTTGGGTGACATTACATACTGGGTAGGCCCTTGAATGGGAAACAAGGAGGTGGGAGACATGGTTTCGAGAATGACAAGGAGGAGATCGTGTGGAGAGGAAATGAAGGCTTCTTAACAATTATGGAGCTCTCTGTGGAGAATAAAGTGAAACAGAGATGTGTCTGCTGAAGCCCCAAATTCCACTAGCAGTCCAAAGGAATAATAGTAATAATGGTGTCTCTGCAGATTCGAATATCTGTACTGGAGCCCTAGTTTCTTTGAGGTTGAAGATATGTCTTGCAGACGAGTACAGTTAGTGATAAACATCTGTAGCAGTCTGTTGAAAATACTTTCCGTGACGTCTGTGCCAAGTCTCTGAAACATAAAGAAGCATTGACATTACCGCAAAAAAATTTGGATCTTGTTACTTGTACAGAGCGATGTAGATCTGCACATTGATTACAGAGTATTGAGTTCCTGTCCCGTTTCCAAAATCGTGACCAGCTTCGAAATCTTGATCCATTCCGCTTGTATGTGTGAGACGAAACTGCCTAGGTAAATGGAAGAGTCGACTTAATTTAGATTTCTTATGTTGATGGGGATTGGTCCTTATTAATTGTGTATCACCTCTGTTTTCTCTGTGTCCGCCTACACTCCTGTCCTCTATGCCTCTTTTATCAACCTTTTGATTCTCGCTTGTAAATCTTTGAGTTTTTGCGCCATTGGACATAAGTCAACTGCGTAATTCAAATATTCCTGAGTGAATTTTTTAGTTGGCCGTATACTTGTATTCCCCACAGTCTGTTGTCCGATCCAGTCCATCATAATTAAGCAGATGATTAGTGATAGTAGACATTCTTGTCTTACTCCTGTCTTCAGTTCAAACGCTTCGGTGAACTTTCCACAGTGAATTAATTCACATATTCCATTGTCATATATCTACTGTATGAGGCAGAGAGTTGACTGCTATTCTAGACTCTGTTTGGTGATGATGATGCGTTGTGTTTCCCTTTGATCCACGCATGATTTGATTTCCCCTGAATCCATCTTCTTTCAGGCGATGTTTTCCAGCCACTTTGTCTTTTAGTCTTTCCAGAATGATTGGGGCTTATTTCGCCGATGTAGCTAGTCAGAATCAAAGCTGAGTCAAGCTGGATATACTGCTGATGAATGATTACTGCCCCGTTCAGTCATTAGATCACTTCGATCTAACTAGTAAGCACTTTAGATTGCCGCAAAGAATTTCTGACTACTCATTTCAGTTAGTAGTATATGTCAACCAAAACGATTATCTTTCACGCAACAATTATTTCTTTCCTCTTCTTCCACAAAATGATTTCATAATTTGTAAAACTCGGCATGATACTTCTTTCAGTTGGATAATTCAATACTATCTAATCAAGTGTGACTTTTCAAAAACCTGGTTACCATTGGAAACCGATTGGGATTCAATGATTCAATGATTTGTTTATGCAGTAAAACAACCAATATATATATATATATGTGTAAATCATTGAAATAAAGCAGATAAAGGTCACACCATTTTTTATTTGGTCATTTAGCATACACCTCACTTCCTGTCTATTGTGTTTAAATAGTTTTAATGGATTCATGCTCAATTTGATGCCATTTATTTAATGAAGGGTGATAAAATGCTACATTTTTTGAATTTAGAATACAATGAATTAATTATATTAGATAGTTGGAGGCAATCGGCTACAGGAAGCATTGCTCGACCTAGGTTTCGTGCTAGTTGGCACTCACCAGTCAGCAAGGCGTATCTGCAACCTTGAAGGAACTCATGTCTCTTCTGATGTTCGAACCCGCGTCACCCAGTGTGCCTGCAGTCAGAGACGTTACCACTGAGCTATTCAAGCTCGCGATTGACCTCCTGTAGGACTGTAGTCGGTATTTTGATTGGACACCAGTAACTAGTGCGATGTGTCTAGTCCTTTCTTTGGTGCAGATTGAATTCTATCAGTCAGGTTTGCAATGTGGCCACCATTCTAGGTCAATCGCACTGGGTGACGCGGGTTCGAATCTCAGAAGGGACATGAGTTGTTCCTTCAACCTGGTTGCAGATACGCCTTGCTGACCGGTGAGTGCCAACCAGCACGAAACCTAGGTTGAGCAATGCTTCCTGTGGCCGATTGCCTCCAACTATCTAATATCATCAAATCAATGTGCACGGTGATGGCGAGCTATCTACAATGGTGATGACTGACAGAATTCAGTCTGCACCAAAGAAAGGACTAGACACGTTGTACTGGTTACTAGTGTCCAGTCAAAATACATTGAATTAATTTGTTTTAAATTATAGTCGCTTTTAGTTATTATTATTGTTATTTTATACAATTGGTTCCTTTGATAAATACCGATAAAGAAAGGGAGACGATATTTGCAGTATAAAGTGGTGTCATTCTATTTCACAAGTTCTCATCATCTGCAGACTAATAATAATAATAAAAGAAGGGATTCTATCCGGTTTTCTGAACATATTCCAAAAAACTTGTGCCCGAAAAGAAGCGAATATTCTCAGAGTGCAATTACCAGATACATTTGTTGATACTGGTCATCTCGTAGAGATCTATAAGTCCTTCAAAATATCAAACAGAAAAACGACAGCATATTTGCCGAAGCGATCGCAATCAAACGATTTAAACCAGACTTATGCATACAGAAAGAGAGTGTGATTAACCTCTCACTCCCTTGGTAACTGAATTTTGATTTTGATTACATTAATTAGTCATCTAATTCAGTGATCTCAACTCACTGAACAAATCTTAATCTCATAAACTGTAACCACTTTTGTTTTTTGAGTTGCTATGTTAACCTACAAGCTAACACTGTTCTGTTAATCAGTTTTTTCTGTTTTCTGTCTTACCCCTCCCCCTCTTTTCAACTTTAAAAGCGTATAAATTGATGATGAAAGCTTAAACTAAAAATTGTAATGCTTTCATTTTGGATGCGTCAGTTTTATAGTATTTCTTCTCTCCTACCACTCAAACATTAAAGTATGTTATTATCATTTAAATTACCATTGTAATTTCAGGTAATCTTCAGCTGATGAGAACCTGGGAAATAGAATGACGATGTCATTTTATACTGCAAATTTCGTCTTCCTTTCTTTATCGAAATTATTGTTATTGTTCCCCTGGGTTCCAAATGGAATATAGGGCTTCAACAAGACATCTCCACTCTGTCTTATTCTCTGCGCTCCGATTTAGTTAGCTGACCCCGAGATTGCGCATAGTCTCTTATCTCCTCCTCGTATGACCTTCTCCATGTCACCCTTGCACTGACGACCCAATCGTCAAATGGCCAGTCGGCTGGTCAGAAAGAATTAGCAAACAAGAAACTCTGGCTGGGGACAAACCAACAGGCGAGAGCCGATCGCTCAACAAATATGTAGGAGAAAATGGAGATGGATGGGTCGGGCATACGTTAAGGAGGCCATCGAATGACACCGCGCTCAGTGCAAATCATCGGTCGGGTGGAATCCCAATGGGAAACGATGAGTTGAGCATGTGTCCGAGGGTGACATGGAGGAGATCGTTTGGGGAGGATGAGATGAGAGATTATGAGAAATTGTTTAGCCAGGCAGCTGTAGATGACAGCTGAAAATAGAACACAGTGGAGATGTATTGTTTAAACCCTATGTTCCACTCGGAACCCAAGGGAATAATATTAATATAAAAATATAAAACTATATACATGAGAATATATGTGTAAAACTTGGGCACTGTGGTAGTAAGTAATTCCATATTAGTTTGTTTATTAGGTATATCACACTTTGAAACAGTGTTATTTACTGGATGACGTTTCGAAAAAAATTTATTGTTCATAATCATATCAATTGTGATCACACGACTTTGACACTTGAGTTTTATAGTTTTCTTTGTTCTCTCCTATTTGTTGTATGGGTAGTAGAATAAATAAAGCCTGAGGAGGGTCCAGTTGAAAGAGAAAACAACATTATTCACTTGTACATATCTTGGTTTGACTTTAACAGCGGTAATATTTAATAATTTAAAGGTATTCATTAACTGGTGAATGCCTAAATAGGTGGGGAAATAATCACTTTTTAAAGTTAATATTCCAGTTCCCATTAATTAATTGACACTTTCCTTCATTTGGAGTTGAATCTGGCGGTTATTATCCTGGGCGAGATCGCCTCCCATTGCATGAGGGCCTTCGTTTCCGTTGGTGACATCATGATAGCCACGCCCTCAGTGTGCGAGTGGTTATCTTCTGGGTGACCGGAGTAGATCACTGACTCACCCGTTGACAATTTGGTGAGTCCATTCCCGTTCCATCGGCTTTCACATATTCCCAGTATTTGAATTCTGTATCTTTTCATTTCGTTTGCAATCTGGGCAGCTTTGCCAATCTCGTACATGGTGCGGACATTCTATGTCCCCACACAGACTTTTTCTTTTGGCTCAAGGAGATTCATCGTACTGAAGTTTCTGTAGCAGTTTTGTTTACAGGCTGGGGTTGCTAGCCTCACGCCTGAGAAGGGGGGGTTGTTACATTAAATTATAGCTTCGAGAGAAGCGACCTTGTGGGGTGCTCCCCTTAAAACCAGGAAAACAGGGAATAAAACAATCAGAACAACACCAGCACGGGAAAATAATTCACCACAAGAAGGGTAAAAAGCGACAACAAAAATAATAATATCACAGTCAATTACAGTTAACCGAAATGATACCAAAATCATAGACTCACTGACTTGAGCCAACTTGGACATGTAAATCCATCAATATATACAATTATAGATATTAGTTAGTGTTAAACAAGCACTTGCATTTCGGCCCATGCCTCGTGCGAACGCTTCGACAGTGTCCAAAGATGGAGATGAGGGTGGTAAATGGTTGGTAGTGGCTGGCAGTTCAACCTAGGGCAGACGCATTTCGTCCTGACTGGGACTCGTCTTCCGAGCGTACTTGTACTCATCAGTGAGTGGTGATGTTGTTCCAAGTGAGACTTGGGCCTGGCACCCATCTCTACCCACTAGACCATTTGGGCCATGAGAGCCACCTCTTATGCAATGGCTGTCAGTTAAACGAGAAGTGACTGTCATGGTTCAAATGGTTTAGTGAGTAACTCCTTGACATTTGAAATTATGGGTGCTGGGCCCAAGTCTCACTGGGAACACCATCACGACTCACTGACGAATACAGGTGCGCCCAGTGACGAGTCCCAGTAGGGACGAAATGCGTCTGCCCTGAATTCCACTACTAGTCACTATTCACTCAATAACAGAATAAGTGAGTCATTAATTAATTGATTAATTAATTCAACTTACCGGAGGACAATGTTTAAATCGAGGCAGCGGTTTAGGAAATGTTTGTCCAGTTAACCAACTTGTCCATGTTGAACGTTGACGTAATGAGATTTCAATAGGTGATAAATCTTTCCTAGCATATTGGGCATATTTAATCAACTGAGAAGCTGTAGGACGTGTTTCTGGTAGTCGAGCGGTTAAATTACGATAAAGATCTGCTGCTGCCGGAGACAGACTATCCGGGGGTTGTAGACCACAATTATCTAAAACTAGTCGTCTTACTTGGCCAACAGTTGAACCACGAAATGGTAGTAGACCGGTTAACATGAAAAATAGCACAATACCGAGAGCCCACATATCGACTGGCCCACCACGATAACTGAAAAAAAAAATAAAAAGGTATAATATATTAGTATGTGTTATAACTATAAATGTTCTTATCAGTTTTAATTCTGACAAAGCAATAAGAAGACGTAATTTGTCTGAATCGTGTATTGTGTGTAGTTGTGCAACACATTTCGAACAATCTGATCACACACAGGACTTGTCATAGGATTGTATATATATGAAATTAATAAAGAGTTAAGAGGTGAGAAAATAGACTAGAGGTCAAGTTAAAACAGCAGTACTGAAGGTCAAAATAACAATGAAGATCAATCACTAAACCAAATAACAGAGGTAATAGTACATCTACCTTGGCTGTTATCAAAACAAAGTTTACCAAGGAAGGTTTAGTGTGATGACGAATTGTTGCGTTGAACGCATAAAGGTGGTTTAAACTTCCTAATTGCTAGGGCTTCCACAAACTTTATGATACGCCCCAAACACGTTTTATAGGTAGATGTGTTAACGTCAATTTTATGTCCTGTCTCTATAATATGTTTCGCAATAGAGGATCTAGGTCTCCTGTTCTCACCACTAATGGGTTCTGGGTATTCTGTTTGCTTCTGAAGCCATTTAGGAATATGCTCTGAAGCCCTTACTTGCATAGATCGATAAGTCCTCCCTATGTATGTGTTTCCACACGTACTTCCAAATTGGTAGATATAGTGGGATGTAACATCATTTTTCGCATGTTCAAAGGGCTTAAATGAATATATTAACCTCAAATTCTCAATTATTATGATCTCAGCTGCATACAAAGTCTTTTTAACGACAGCTTTCAGTCTTTGTCTAGTTGTCAAGCTGCTATGGTCACCCATATAGGGTAGCTTTATGTACACATCTTTCTTAGCGGCGAGTTGGAGAATGTTTCTTAGTGGAATTACATTTTACCAAAGTATCCAAGTTCTACACTTACATTAGTTCCCCATTCTAGTTTTACTCGAAGACCAGAGGCATGATGCCACTCAGGAGTCATCTTTTCAGATTATTTTCAATCCATCTCCATTTTCCTCGTCATATTCGTTGGTTGAGAGATACTTCTTTAACTTGCTACACTGCTAGAGTTCTTTGTTACTGATGCCTGACTAACGTGATATCAGTGTTGAAAATTCAGATCTTATTCCTGGCTTTGATATCCATGACCGTTTCGTCTGTAGTAAAATAAGATGCTGCCTATGTAACGACAGAAGACAAGGGCCAGGCGACAGATCGTTTATTGAGAAAATCAACAGAATATTGATAGATTTTTATGTACATTATTATTAGCGTTATTGTTAGCAGAGAAGCAACCTCTTCTGATTGGTTGTTTTCTTGCTGAAGGTTATTCTGTCATCTCTTTGTGGCCGTTTATTAGACAGTCCAGTGATATATCTGCGAATCGTATCCGCCCACGCTAAGTCTGCTGTGATTGGTTGTTGAGTTCCTCAAGGTAAGGCTTTCTTACTGTTTACAATTTTGGCTTGCAGACAGCTCTCACCACACCCAGATAAGTGAAAGGTGTGAAATTCTTTAAATTTCTCCCGGTATTATTATTGGCTGGTTATCTTTACCTCGTCTGTCTTGTCTACGTTCACTTGAAATCCTGCCTCTTCTGTCAGCTCTTTAGTTTTCGCCTGTAGGTCTTGGCGTATATGATATTAGAGTCTTTTAGAGTCTTCTTGTTCACCCAAAGTACTCCTGTTTACTCACGCCCAATAGTCTCACGCATAATCCATTCCACAACAATCAGGAGCATCATCAGTGATAGTAGGCAACCTTGTCCTACTCTTGTATTCACTTCAAAGCCATCACTGAGTTTTGTGTAGAATGCGGTTGATAAAGGTTTGGGCACTCTGTAGTATTGGAGCACTTTCCAAATTACTTCTTGGTCGACGTTGTTAAAGGCTTTTCAAAGTCAATGAAGTCAAGATAGAGATTTGACTGCCATTCTATGCTCTGTTCAACGATGATGATGCGTAGAGTTGTAAACTGATCTGCACATGATTTGCTTTTCTGGAATCCAGGTTGTTAAGGGCAGAGTTTTGCATCCTGTGCATCTTCTATTCCCTCCAGGTTGCTGTGACTCAATATTTTGCTTGGCTTGGACACGAGCATGATTCCATGTTAGTTTTCACAAAGGCCTAAGTCGGCCCTTTTTGGTAATTTGACAAAATAGCCTTTTTTTCAATCAGTAGGTGCCTTTCATTCCTTCTAGATTTTCTGCAGTAGTGGCGTCAGGATATCCTCTGCTGTCTCTGCGTCTGTTTTCAAACCCAAACGCTTAACGTGATGATAAGTTTCTACCTCAATATCATCAAAGTCGTTCTCGTACGACAGCAATTGTGGTGAGAGCTGTCTGCTAGCCCAAATTGGTAGACAGTAATTTACGTCAATGTTTACGTCCCATATCTTGGTCATGAGAAAAAAAACAAGGACAAAGACTAACTCAACAGCCAATCACAGCAGACTTTGCGTGGGCGGATACGATTCGCAGATATATGGTCTGACCTTCAAAGAAACGGACACAAGCGAGAAAACAACCAATCAGAAGACGCTGTTTCTCTGTTAATAATAACGAATAATAATGTACATAAAAATATATAAATACCTGACCCTTGTCTTCTGTCGTTACACAATAACCATCAGCTTAGAATTTCACAATGAAGAAAATATCAAAGGCAAAGTTAACTTACGATTGAGATTCGAATAATTCTGGTGCAGCATATGCAGGTGATCCACAAAATGTAGTCAACTGTTGATCTGGTGACTTAGTTAGTTTACTAAAACCAAAATCCACCAATTTTACACGATAATGATCAGGACATAAACCTGAAAGTGTCAGAAGGAAAGCAGCAACTTTTAAAACAAAAAGTTCATTAACAAGTATAGAAGATCTGAAGGCTCAAATGTTAAACAAATCGCAGTGGGAAAAAAGCCCATCTTCATTCAACTTGACTTTAAAGGTGAAAATATTACAGCAATTGTCAACAGAAGATTGACGATGTCACTATATATATATATATATATATATATATATATACCAAGCTAGGGGACTAGCCATCACAATGGTAGGAGGGAATCGCCAGGGAGCTCTGGACCAAACTGCAAACTTGATTGATAACATGCAGTCAGCTGCGTGAACTAGTTATATGGCTGTTTGGTCCAGAGAAGACATTATTATTATTGTTCCCTTGGGTTCCTAGTGGAACATAGGGCTTCAACTGCACGCCTCCACTTGCTTCTGTCTTCTGCTGTACTTTTCACTTGCATTCATGTTAATCCATACTGTTTCAGTTCCTCTTCACACGATCTCCTCCATGTCACCCTTGAACGTCCCACTCGCCGCTTCCCTTTCGGGTTCCACTCGAGCACTGGCCTGACGCGCGATGTCACCCAGCGGCCTCCTTAGCGAGTGTCCAATCCATCTCCACTTTCTCATGCATATTTGTTGGGTGATTGGTTCTTGTTTTGTTTCTTCCCATAGTTTCTTGTTGGTGATTCTTTCCGGCCATCTGATCTTCAGTATGGAGCGAAGACAGTTGTTGATAAAGGTCTGCAATAGGCTGTTGGAAATATTCTTTGTGACCCGCCGCCAAGTTTCTGATCCGTATAGAAGAACTGACTAACTTGAAGTTTGTATTGAAAATCCGAATTTTGTTGTTGATGCTGAGTGAGTGACGAAGATTTCCAGATTGGTTTCAGGTTGATGAATGTGTTTCTCGCCTTCCCGATTCTCGATTTGACATCCTCGTCCGTTCCTCCTGTGGTTGAGACAATGCTCCCTAGATAAGTGGATGAAGTAACCTCTTTCAAATCCCTCCCGTTGATGGTGATTGGTGGTGGATGTTGCTGCTGTTGTTGTTGTTGTTGGTTGGTTATTTTCATAACCTCCGTCTTGTCTATGTTCACCTGGAGTCCTGTCTTTGCTGCTTCTTCGACCAGTTTGTCGGTTTTCGCTTGTAAGTCTTCGATTTTGTGTGACATCAAACATAAATCATCTGCGAAATCCAGGTCTTCTAGGTTCTTCACGTCGGTCCAGGATATCCCTGTCTTCTCGTTTCCCACTGTCTGACGCATAATCCAGTCCACCACAATTAGGAATATCATTGGTGGTAATAAGCACCCTTGTCTGACTCCTGTATTTACTGCAAACGCCTCACTGAGTCTTCCGTTGTGGATCAATTGACATGTGCCGTTGTCGTACAGCTGTTGAATAAGGTTGATGAATATTTCGGGTACGCCGTAGTACTTGAGTAGTTACCAAATTACTTCGCTGTCAACGCTGTCGAAGGCCTTCTCAAAGTCTATAAAGTTGAGGTAGAGGTTTGATTGCCATTCCATGCTTCGTTCGATGATGATGCGTAGAGTTGCAATTTTGTCTGTACACCTGCCCTAACAGTAACATTAATTATTCCCAAATGACTAACTAATATATATGTGTAACAGTCAAATGGGATATCTATCACGACTCTGAATAAATTAGCGGTAAATTTTCTAAAGCAAATTCGATTCTCTGAAGGTTTATTAGTTCTTTCAAAGTTGAACATACACTTTGCTAGTGAATGCTAGTAAGTACGAAATGTAGATTGGACAGGACGTCTTACCAATCACCTTCAACCACCTAATGAATAAAACTACTAATATCACACTATATTTGTAAACTGACATCATATACTCTAAGTACGAATTAGACCTTTTGGTATTAATATTCCTATCTCATGCCTCAATAGGAGACTACTTTTGATTTTTTTGGTTGATAATGTTTACCAGTGGAATTCAACATGCATATTTCATCCTATTTAGGACTTATCAACTGAATGTGCCAGCATCCTACAGTGAGTAAGTGAATGAATAATGGTATTCTCCCTGAAACTCAAACCTAACACGCATCGTTTCATTCCTGAGTGGCATAAGAAATGACTTTGGTGGTCAAGTGACATAACAGACCAAGCTTTGGAGTTTAAAAAGATGGGTGTTGGGTTTGAATCTCAATGGGCAGATCTTCATTTACCGGCGGATGCAAGTGCATCAAGCTCGCGACTCCTAGAAAGGATGAAATGCACATGGCAAGTCACCACCGCCTGAGAAACAACATCATACGAATGGTTGGTTATTGAACAAAGAATATTCTTTCCAATAACTTCACCGTCGTCAGGTTCTACAGTTATATATCGGTCCATAATAATGAATGAATTAGTGTTATTAGAAAAATTAGCAACAAAAAAACCCATACAAATTCATAGTCTCTGCTGAAGACCAGGGCAGTAGTAGTGGCTGGTTGGACTTATTTCTTCTGCACGCAGAGCAAAGGGTTATCTAAGGCGAACCACGATAGCCTCTGCTGTAAGGAGTATGCGGTACCTCGATGCTTTCGGCAGTTTATTTGGTACCCGACAGATGATAGTGAAGGACTTCTCAAAGTTAGCTTTTTGGCCGTTTTTGAATACGTGGTCTAATATCGAACTGTTTGTATTGGTTTTTACTAAACCTTTATTTAGCCACACTTGTAGATATTCTCGAGAGAGCACGAGAAATTAAGTTCGTAGAGCAATGGCCAATACAGCTTGCTCCACCACAAGCGCAGTCGAATTGGTGAATACAATTAGGAGTGGCTAGCTAGTCTAAATGTTTCATCTTTCAGTTGAGGAATCACCATCGGCTGTGTAGAAAATAAGACTTGTAATTTGCGTGCCATGGTATTCAGTGGGGACTTAAAATTCATGAATACTGTATTATTTTCGTTTTTCCTAATTTTTCTGATATTCAGCTTGTAGTGTTATGTTGATGCTATCAAACTGTAATCCATTGATATTACTATTATTATTGATTCGATGTTATTCAAACATTAATGTTGTTGTTCATAACACTAATTCATTTGCTATTATGAATGGATACATAACTATAGAACCTGATGAAGAGCAGGTTATTGAAAAAAGTATTCTTTGTTCAATAACCACTCTTTGATAAATAAGTTTTAATGAGCATTTTTAATCATTTGAAATAAAAAGTTAGACGACCACTGAAGATCAGTTCTGGGGTACTGAACACCTGTTTTGTTCTAGTTTGGGACTCTTCATCAGTACGACCCCAGAAGGGATAGAACCTGAAACCAACAGATTAAGAGTTGAAACTCATTGACCATTCAACCAATTGTATCAGGCCAAGTTCCATGGATTTTTGTTGAGAAGATACAACTAGTTGGATCCACCAGGTAGCATATGAAGTCAAACTCTCGCTGATGACTTATATTCGAGTTTATTAGTCACTGAATTTCATCTTAAGTAGGTAAACAACCAGCGAGCTCGTCTGGTTGAAGGTCCTGAGTTAAATCGATGTGGTATCATGGGTGTATACTTCTCTTCTGAACAACCTCAAACCAGAACGAAACTGCTGTCCAATACTTCAGTACTGGTTTTCAATGATTCTCTTCATGATCAAACAATTTTTGTTCATCTGTGAATAAAGCTCACTTGTCTGTTGAATCTTCAATAGTTCATAATAATAATAATTAATAACCATATTCTGAAGAGTGTTCACATAATGTATAGAATTCTTAGCGGAATTTTTTTGTCCAAGATCTTCAAAGAAAACAGTTACTGATAGTAGGTCGTTTGACACAGTACTGTCTGACCTGGAGCACAAACTCATCCCTTATGACATTTCATCTCTGTCCCTCCTTCGAGAAGTGTACAATATTTCGTTGAAAACCAATTAGAATTAGAATTAGAGTACAATTTATGATTCATGGACCTAACTGAATAATTGAGGACTCTAGACAGTTAGTTTTATTTCCTGGGGAGTGACATTTTACACTGAAAATCTCAATAACAACTGCTTTATTTATTGTGACACGTTGCTACCCAGCAGTTTTCTCTTTGGTAAAGTTTAGTAAACATTTTGCAAATCAACAGGTTGGTAAAGACTTTAAATACTTACGAGAGTAGAAAATACCGTTAGAGGTTATATTTCAATAGATTAAAGCAAATTAAACCCGAGAATTGAATGCAATAGAATTATTACTATCTCGCGTAGTTCTTAGGGGAACATAAGGATTCAGCCGCACGTCTCCTTTGCCTTCGGTTCTCCACCAACTTTTTCACCCAGCTTCATATCTGCCGCCCGCATGCTTTCATCTCCTCTCCGCATTCTCTCCTCCGTGTCACACTCGCACTGACGACCAACTCATCGCTTCCTATTCGGGTTCCATTCGAGCGATGGTCTGGCGTGTGATTTCACCTGATGGTGGTTTTTCTCTTATAGTATGTCCAATCCACCTCTAGTTCTTCCTGCATATTTGTTGCACAATTGCTTCCTGCTGAGTTGGTTCGTTCATTGCCAGAGATCTCTCCCTGTTGCTGATATTTTCTTGCCATCTGATCTTTATTAATGAGCAAAGATAGCTGTTGATGAAGGTCTGTAGTTTGTTTGAAGTACCATTCGTGATGCGATGCCAAGTCACCGATCCGTCTAGTATGTAGCACTGACTTCACCAACACTGGAGTTAAAAATCCGGATCTTATTTCCATTTTCATGCTGAGGAGTGCTGTTGATCTCCACACAGACTTGAGAGTAATGAAAACTTGCCTAGATTCCCGATCCTCGCTGCTTTGATATCCTAATCGGTTCCATCCGCCTCTAGTTAAAACGATAATTCCCAGGTAGATAGGGGAAGGAGGTTGCTTCTTTCAGATTTCTCATATTTATGCTGGTCGTTGTCTGTTGTTGCTGTTGCTGTTGGCCAGGAATCTTCATCCCCTCTATCTTCTCTATATTCACCTGAAGGAAGTCCTATCTTTGATGCTTCTTCTATCGCCAATTTGTTGCTTTTCACTTGCATATCTTCCAGTTTGTAGGAAATCAGACACATATATCATCGACGAAATCCAGATCCTCCAAGTTTTTTGTGTGGGTCCATTTTATGCCTGTCTCCTCGTTGCCTGTTGTCTGTCGCATTATGCAGTGTAACTGTGGAAGGTTTCTTAGTAGTCCAGGCTGTAAAAACAGGCCGCCTCATCAAACAGATATTATTACTATTATAAATATATTCCAGTAAAACAATTTGAAACATTTAATATATATACCACATACAAAAGTAATGTACACCTTACCATTTATATCTAAACCTCCATCACAATGTTCACCATCATAACTCGATGATTTCACTGATTCACTTTGATGATATAATTTATTCAATTTCGTCTTAGCATAACCTTCTTCTACATTAGAATACATTCTTGTCGGTAGATTACCTTTATGCCGATTACCTCCCTCTTGATATTGTTGATTCCTTAACAAATTCGTAGCATATTTTGCTAGCTGTGGTGAATTCCTTTCACGTGAAGAACGTTGCTGATGATGATGATGACTATCTCCCTTTGTCGGTGAATCACGACTTCTACTCGATTTACTTGAATGTGATCTATGCCGTAGAAGTTTATGAATTTTATCGCTTAGATTACTTCTTGTCTTTAGAGTATTACTATTGTTATTATTATTATGTTTCATTGATTTATCATCCTGTGTATCGATTTTCGATTGTGTTGATTGTAAATTTTGAAAATTATATGTGAAGAGTATATTCTCAGCTTTAATATCACGATGTATAATATTCCGTTCATGCTGAACAAATAGAGAAGGGAAATAAAATTATTAATTATTAATTATATATATGTATATTTATAAAAGAATTTTCAGCCTTGTACATATTGCAGTAATTATTTATCGGTGTGGCACAGCGGTAGAGTGCTCGCCAACCACTCCTCATGTGGTCCGGGGTTGGATCCCCGGCCGCCAACGCACTCCCTTACCTCGCTAATCCACTAGTAAGACTGTTAAAGAGGGAAGGTTGGCTAGGCATGAGGCTAGCAACCCCATCCTGTAAAAATAATCACCAGTGCTACCGAAACTTCAAGCCTATAGCTTGAAGCCCTATGTTCCACGGGGAACGTACAGGAAGAAAAAACAATTTATCTACCCTTCCAAATGTGCGGATATCCTGTGTTATCCTCTCATTGACATATTTAATGAATCTTTTTCCAGAAATGTTGTGCCAGCCGTTTGGAAGGATATTAAAATTGTACCTATACCTGTGTCATTCACTGTAACATGTATAAATTTAGACCTACTGTCCTTTTCTAAAAACTATGGAAAAAATAAACTCTTACTTAATCTTGAACCTTCACTTAAAGCCTTTAACGATCCAAAACAATTCGCCTATAAACACAGTAGAAGTACTTTAGATGCAGCTGCAGTCTTGCTTCATAACAGTGTCTCAAGTTTAGACAAAGAGGCTAAATTACACATCTGCTTTCGACTCAGTACCTAAATAAGCCTTCTGAAACTCAAACTGAGTGTTAGGTTGTTAAATGGCTGTATTTTGATTTCTCAGGAAGAAAGCAGTACACTGTATGTCAGGGGAAGTCGTCCACTTCATTGCTTACTGAGGCTGCTGTTTCTCAAGGCGCTGTCCCTTCTCCTTTCCTGTTTTCTTTCTTCTTGCATGACTTGCGGACGATCTAACTGTTTCAAGGCCTGTTAACTACCAGCTAGATTGTAGTAAGATAAATAGCTTTCTATCAGGAGTCAGCAAATGGTCTTCGTCTAATGGTCTTAAACTAAATCCTACCAAACGTCAGATTGTTAATTTCAGTTTCCGATGTAAAAGAAAGTTAAATGAAGCTGTTGATTCCTATGACCGTTGCAAAATTGATGATAGTGATATAGAAATCAAGTCTAAAGTTAAGTATCTTGGATTAATTCTTTCTTCTGATCTATCCTGGTCTTCCGATGTCTTAGCGATTTCTAAAAGAATATTTCGTCTGACTTTTTACATTAAGAAGTTAAGGCGATCAGGCATAACTCAACCCCTCCTCCTCTTACAGTTTGTCAACTCGTGCATCTTACCTATTCTTCTTTACTGTTCACCCTTATTCATTCTTGGATTGCTTAAAAAAGACTATGTCATACTTCGTAGAACTCTGAAGACTGTCAATGGGACGAGTGGTATCCCATTGGGCCATATCGTTGACATCGTCATTGATAGGCACTTGATTTCATGCAACAAATTTGCTAAAGGAATTTTGTCAGACTGTGAGCATCCACTGTACCCGCAGCTCCAACCTTGTGTCTCCTCAGGTAAAACAAGAAGTCTTTTCAGAAGACTTTATGCACGTACGTCTAAGTATAAAAATTCCACTATACCATATTTGGCAGCAAGTATTTTATGTGATGAAAATAGTGTTAGGCATGAACTAACTAACTAACCTTCTTTGCACTAGTAAATAAACCATTTCCTTCACCCTTAAAACATCAAACTTTATTGTTATTGTACTTCTTATATTTATAATCCTCTCAATTTTTGTTTTTGTTTATTTTTTCATAAGTGTGAACATTTAAGCTGTGTTATAACTGTTAATTTTGTATTTCCCCTCAATATGCTATATCAACAGAACATTAGATTCAATAATCTATAAAATGCTAAAGTTTCCAAACTGAATCGACAATACTGTTTGAAACAAACTCACTGTTATTATTATTATTATTATAATTTAATATTCTCAATTCGTGCTTCGAATATTTTTGACTTTATATCGTAAACGTGGACAAATTCCTCTGGTTAATTTTGTTTTAATTTTATTTATATTTTGAGTAAATCAGATGCACTATTGTGACAAATGCTGAGAATTCCATTCTGTATTATAAGTACTGTTTTTGGAATAAAGTAGATTATTATTATTATTATTACATGCCCTATTTACATTGCTTTAATATCAAATTCGATTACGAAATGACTTCATTGAAAATCCAGTAGTACTAGACAGCCGTTTCCTCCTAGTTTGTGACTGTTCAGCAGTACGCACCCACCGGGGATTGAACTTAGAATATTCATGTACAACGCGAACTTCTTGACCATCTAGCCACTCGGACGAAATCTAATGGCCGGCCCATAGATCCTAATTTCGGCCATTTCACGATATAGAGCTCGATGTCATCGGTGAGCATAAGTCCTCACACTAAGTTTAATGGACCCCCAGCCCCTGCTTATAACTTCTCACTAAAACTTCAGACAAGTTCATCCTGTACTCAGTCATTTGTGAGCACTGAATACTAGCACTTGAATTGGTTACAGGATTTCATCATGTGCTGACATTGGTTAGAGAACCCTTGAAAAACAGTACTGGAGTACTGGACAGCTGTTTCGTTCTAGTTTGAGACTTTTCAGTAGTGGGCACTTACCACCACGGTTCGAGCTGGTAGACCATTAAGCTACTGGGACCCGATCCAATTCACGACATAGTGCGACCACTAGACAGTGTCTTGAGGGAGTATTTGTCCTCACACCCGACCTGCTGCACCCTACTGGTCACAACTTCCCACTAGAACCCATGTAACTACCTACCTGAATAAGGCCAGTCGCTAGTGAGCATCTTATTGATATTCAAGTATTGGTTTGTAGGTATTTGAAAGTTGTTTTAATTATTAAACATTATAAGTAGAGGGAATCAGTGCTCAGCATTAATTCCACCTGAGTTTTGTGCTTATTCAGTGACTATGGATTTATATTAGTTAAAGAACCATTGAAAACAAGTAGGGAGTATTGGACAGCTGATTCTTCCTAGTCTGAGACTCATCGGTGGTATGTACCTGCTGGTGTTCGAACTCAGGACCTTCCAGTTATCAGGTAAGCTCGTAGACCATTCAGCCACTGGGGCCTGATGAGTCCCAAACTAGGACGAAACAGCTATCCAGTAATCCCTGCTTGTTTTAAATAGTTCTTTCACTAATATCAATCCGTGGTCAAAGCTGAAATTAATCAAATCCCCATAAAGGAATTCTTGAATACGTTCGTATTTGTCCAAATGGTTTAAAAACCCATATATATTCAGCATCTCTGTCAAGTATTATGTCTGTTGTTTGAGACAGTAAAAGCTCTCCTGTCAACTTACCGTCTTCTATCTTCTCTTCATATGCCAGCGAAACTGTCGCTGAAGCGGTTGTCATTGAGATTAGTGATTAGATATTTTAGCATCATATGGGTGTCAGTTGATTAAGCCGTATTATCAGTCAGATTACTGGCAAACTAGTTCAGTAGTTAGCCTGAATAGCTTAATGGTAAAGTCTCCTTCACTACAGTATCGGATGATGTAGCTTCAAACATCTCGAGTTGGGGGATGGGCATCTCTTTCTTCATGGTTGTAGATACGCCCTGTTGACGACTGACGTTGACCATGAAACCAAAGTTAGGTAGGGCTACCCTATAGATTGCCTCTAACCATTTAACAAGGCGAATTCTGTTATGGAACATGTCGAGTTCGAAAAGGGCTTCAAATTTTTTCTTCAATACACTTATGCTACTATCGAGTAATTGAAATAATGTATAGATAAAAATTAAGGTACATGTAAAAATTCACTAGATTGTTAATTCTTTAGATTTCAAATTAACACACAACCTCCTTCCTTATGAATCAGCGTCAGCTAGAGAATTCCAAAAACACAAACGAGACTCTGTAGAGATGTTTCATCTGAGTTACAGGCTCCAGGGTACTCAGTGATTCAATTCACTATAGGTCCTAGGAAGGCTAGGACAAATTATCAATCGTAATTTACGAATTAATTCGCCATTGTTAAGTTACACAACCGGCGGTGAAAGTTCGCCTTTGTCTCCTTCGGGAATCGAAATAATTCAAATCAAAACATTTGGTGTGTTTAATACTACATAACCATAAGTGCATAATGCTACATACTACTGATTGACCGATTTGAGTAGTAAGAAACCATCCACATCAAATAATACTGTTTGCTATCCAGTCAGATCGAAGTGGATTAAACACTGGAAAGCAGTTTCGTTGGTTTAGGGACCAGCTCATCACCGATGTGCGTGGTTCGACTCCTATCAAAGGGCCTAGTCAGTTCAAACCACCCCAATTCTGGCTAGGTAATTCAGAGAACTGGTATTACATGCCAGATCAAATTCTTAACTCGCAAGTTGGGTTGGGCTAGTTTCTTTTAAACATACAGCTCCGGTTCCTCGATGCATATGGTGAGTGATTCTGCACTTCAAAGAAGTCAGAAACATACTGTATCTGGTAGATTTTTGTTCACTTTGTAAATGACTCTGAATAATGAGTCAGTTGAGATGCTGTAGCAGGTGTGTTTGTAATGACAGAAGACAAGGGCCAGACAATAGATCGTTTGTTGAGAAAGTCAACAGATATTTATAGATTTTTATGTACATTATTATTCATTATTGTTAACAGAGAAACAACATCTTCTGATTGGTTGTTTTCCTGCCGAAGGTTTTTCTGTCATCTTGTTGTTGCCGTTTCTTACATAGTCCTTTGATATATCTGCTAATCGTATCCGCCCACTCTAAGCCTGCTGTGATTGGTTGTTGAGTTCCTTAAGGTTAGGCTTTCTTCTTGTTTTCTCTCATGAACCTGATTCGGGACGTAAACATTGACCTCAATTGTTGTCTACAATTTTGTCTTGCAGACAGCTCCCACCACATGTTGACGAGTGGTTCACAATTATTTCGTTTCTGACTGAACCAGTGCCTCCTCTTTGCAGCCATGCTGAGTAATTTTCTCTAACATGTTTTGATAGGACCCACATAGAACGACCTATGTACCTATCTCCACACGAGCAGGTGAACTGATATATGCACACTGAAGTAGTCATATGCGGAAGTCTGTCCTTCGCATTGCTCCGAAGCAGTGGGCGTCTGGAGGATATCACTCTTAGAGTTGCTGAAGGAAAGGTCTTCTTTAAGGCACTAGAGACTCCCCCCTCGGGATATCTGCTGCTAAGTCTTTCCTGAAGTCCAGATTCAAATATAGGTTTTCTTTGGTACTGAAGTTCATTCTATTTTTTGCTTTGGTTTCATTTTCTTCTCCACGAAAAGCTGTAGGTACCCATTTTGAGCCAGGATATTTTTGAGAAATAGGCGCTCTTATTCTAAGGAGTCATTGGTGCAACGGTGGGCAAGTAAGATAATGAGAGCTCTTTTTCATCTCACAGGTATCCAACGATAGAAGTTTTTCAGTTGGCCATTCCATGATAGTTTTCTGTGGATAGATCTTTTCATGATCATCATCCATGATCATCTCTTCTTGTCAGTTCGATATTTAGAAATCGAATCTTTGATTCATTTTCAATTTCCACTGTGAATTTGATTGAAGGATGGCAATTGTTAAATTCTTGTAAGATACAAATGAAATTATAAGCGTCATGACAGACCATAAAAGTGTCATTGATATACTTTTTGTGCAACAACAGTTTGTCTGCTATTGAATTTAAGATACAATTTCCCAAACTGCCGCCCTATAGCAATCGTTTCTCTCTAATGTGCAACTTACTTATTTTGAGGTAAAGTGTTCCCATGATTTCCTTTGAAGTTATTATTGAACACGGTGTTGGAATACAGCGAGTAACCTGTGTGCTTCTCAGCTTCTGGAAAATTTCAACTAGATTAGTTGACTATATAATTTAGTTTGAACTTTCTCGTCGATTAACTGGACCGAAGTGTTCAACCTCTATTGATATGTTACCTCCTTGTATGGATGCTTGACGTTTAAAACGATGGGTACTGGATTCGACTTTCATTGGGAACACCATCAGTCACTGGGGAATGCAGATACATTCAGATGACCAGTCACAAATAGGATGAAATGTGCATTATCCTGGATCCCACTGTTAGTCACCGTCCACCAAACTACTTCTAGATTAGTTGGCTGTTGTACAGGCATCGGACTAGAGGAGACTGCTAAGTTCATTATTTATTACGGATATAACTGTATCTGTGTTAATATAAACAGTGGTTCTCTTCGTATTGAGAATCTAACCCAACGTTTCGTTTTCATGTCTCTGATGCTAGTGAGATGGATCCTTCACCTAACAATATTGTCCCATACTTCAATCAACTTTTCAGAAATGATGGAACTATCTATTTGCATTACACTACAGATAACCAACTAGGAACGCTGGCAGTGAACCAACAAATATGTAGCGAAAAATGTAGAAGGATAGAACAAACGCTGAGGACACCACTGAGTGACACTAAAGGCCTGGTGGACCCTCCAATGGAACCTGAATTGGAAACGATGAGTTGGGATTCAAATGGTAACATGGAGGGAATGGTGTGAGGAGTAGATGTTAGCCCATGGGTAGTTGTGCAACAAGACAGCGTGAAATGGCCATGTGCTGGTGAAGACCAATGTTCCACTCAGACCCTAAGTAATACATATGATTTATTCAAAGACTTCTCGAGAGAAATTCTTCGTGTAACTGCTATCTGTCTGGCTGTCTGGTTTCAAAATATAACTTCGCACCGATGTGCAGCAGTTCGAGTCGCTAAACTCCCTCCTTGTAGCACACAAAACAAGAGAAGAAAGCAGAAGAAATGCAAAATAGACACAGTAAAGAGAGATATGAGGCGAAAAGAATAGTAACCTGGAAGAACAATAGAGTTTCATTGGAAATTATAAGTCACAAAGAGTGGATGCATCTGCACCAGCCATTGACAACTATTTTCAGCCATATCACCAATTGTTTCCAGCCATTGGTTTTTACCGTTCCGAGAACCCCAACCATTCAGGAAGTCTACACATTCCTACGTGACTGGCTTAAACTAACCATTGAGGATTTCATTGACTAATGAAGCTATGTTTTGGTTTGACCACCACTAGTTGTCTCTTTTACAACCTGACCCTATGTCAGCTAACATTGCCCACTGTTGAGGAAGGCGATGACTAGACATACGTGACACATGTCCTAACCACCTCAATCGATGTAACTTCACAGCCTCGTCGACTGATTCCCCCTCCCTCCTTACCTAGCACTCCACCGATGCCTCACCCCAATATTGCTGACCTTATTATACCAATAGAAATAGAACGCAGACACCTATGGTCAAAGACAGCTAGTCAGGCTTTTCATGTCCTCCACTCTCAATGACCATGCCTCACTCACAGTGATAAAGGAGGACGGAGCGGACTTCTGAGCAGTACACACTTCCTTTGGTCGACAGCCAGCTGGTTATGACGTCTATGCCAGAGACGGCGTAAACTGGCATATGTGAAACTAACTTTCTGTATCCCAGTGGAGCATAGGGCTTCAAGAGCATATCTGCATTACATCCCGTTCTCTTAAGTCCAGTCGGTAAAATGAAACTTTAAGCACCGGTAACAGCCAATCAGCGAATGAGCTTGAACGCACCAGTCACATGAAGGGGGCGTTTTTTAAAATTCCTTTACGTTCCCAGTAGAACATAGGGCTTCAAACTAGAGGCTTGAAGTTTCGGTAGCAGTAGTGTTTGTTTTTACACGATAGGCTTGCTAGCCTCATGCCTAGCCAACCTCACTTCTTTACCAGTCTTATTACTGGCTTAGTGAGGTAAAGGAGTGCGTCGGTGACCGGGGATCAAACCCCGGACCACATAAGGCGTGGTTGGCGAGCATTCCACCGCTGTACCATCGACGCACATTTTTGTGTATGGAATACACATATTTATGAAAAAATGCATAAGAACCATATAAAAGTGTTACATAGGATACCTTTCTCTCACATGTGATAAAAACATCTCCCAGTTTAGCATGGGAGTATCAACTGAAAAGTTATACAGCATCCAATACATATATTCATCTATAATGACTATAAATGACATCCTTTTGAGATCCATTAATGGCTTTAATCTTGTTTTTTAACCTTCCCCAAAAGCCTTCGATATAACTGGTGTAGGTCGCTGCAATCGGATCCACAAAATCATTAGGATGGTTTGCTGTGTGGTGAATATATCCAACGGCTGATAAGGAGTTATAACCTTACCACTCATCTGTGTATATCTGCGATACTCTCGACGAACAAACGAACGAATTGCACAACGATGATAATATCCATCAACAGACCTGCTGAAGCATTTTATCGTCATCACACCATCACATGAACAAATCCTTTCTTGCCTAATCAACCCCACATTTAAGTAATACTGTAGGACTTGATGTTCACCAAAGTGCAAACGCAACTGCGTTAGAGCAGGCATCTGACTCTAATCAAGCGGAATAAGAGCTTCAAATCAAGTGAATAAATCTCATTGGACCATTCAAGGTCAATGGTGTGGAAACACTCTATTGGTAGTTAGTGGTGCTTAAAGTTTAACTTGATCATCCAGTTTTTGCTAGATTCTCACTTGCACGTAAGCTTTCATCACACTTGCAATAACATGTCACCACTGGACGCCCAATTAGTCATTTCACGTTTAAGTTCCACATTAGTAAATGGCATGTGATGTCACTCGACGTTACTCTTCAGCATATGTCCAATCCATCACAGCTTCCTTCATTACTAGAGTTTCTTGTGTCTTATCCTTTCTACCCATCTGACTTTCAACAAAGAGTGAAGGCGTCAGCTGTAGATGAACGTCTACAGCAGCGTTTCTGAAATGAATTTGGTGATGTGCGGGACAAGTCTCTAAACCACATAGAAGGACTAACTGACCTTAGCAGTAGTGTTGCATATCCGGATGTATCCCCTTACGTTGAGTGCCATAAATTTCTGCACTGATTTCACAATAATGACCACCAATCTTACTTTTCCGATTCTGGCATTAACGTCGACATCCATACCACCTTTAGTTGAAATGATGCTGCCTAGATACTACTAAATAACAGTCTATTAACTGAATCCATGTTATTCTTGAAAGTTCACGCATTAACGTATTAAAAAACAAATCAATTCGTATAATTGTTTTTATCAACTAAATTGAACTATTGAACAATATGGTGGACATATTTAAAAAAAAGAATAATTTAAAACAACTTACTAAATGATTAACAGCAGCAATCAATTGAGCAAATACAATTCTTCCTTCAGGTTCACTTAATTTACCATATTTTACTATTCGACGATTTAAATCCCCTCCAGCAACATATTCCATGACAAGATTTAAACGTGTCAATGTTTCAATAACCTTGAAATGTAAATGATTAAAACAAATTGTGGGAAAAAACAATCGATTTAACAGGATTTTCAAAATATAATTAACAAAGGATAATAATGGGGAAAAAATATCAGAAGTACACGTCTTAGTAAAATAAAAAAAGAAGATTGAAAGGGGCTTTTCATGGCTATTAATACTTCATGCATGTATTCAAAAGCAAAATTAATTACATAGTAAAACATTTAAAAGGGTGGAGAAATCGACTGGTCAAGGGAAAAATCTGTTAATGTTTTATTTCCACTTAATTTCTTATTTAACCGATCCATACTAATTTATCATTTTTTCACTTTTATAAAAATATATTGATGATAAATTCAAGGTTATATAGGCGAGTATTTGTCCTCACTTCCGACAGGATGGAACCCCCTGATCACGACTTGACATTAAAATTCCAAGAAACTTTATCCTGCAGCCAGTTACTAGCGAGCATCGGATTAATTCTCAAGAGTGACTGACAGATTGATTCATTACTCAGATCATGAGATTTGTGGGGATTTCAATAGTTAGATTTCTTCACGAACTGAGAGCATCAGTTGGAAAGATCATTGAAAACCACTGATGAAGAGTTCCCCAAACATAGGACGAAACAACTAGCTATCGTTGTGTTCTACCTGGTGGATTTTAAGGATCTCTCTAACTGCTCCTTTTGGGTTGTGATGAAATCTAAACAGCTGAAATGAATTTTCAAGAGTTAAATAACTAGTTAGTAGGGATTTGACTGATATCAGTTAGATCTGATGCTCGCTAATGACTAGCTGCAAGACGAAGTTTCCTAGAGTTCTGGTGTGAGAAGTCGTGATCAGTGGGGTCGGGAGTGAGGAGAAATACTCGCAGACAGCGATGACATTGGTTCGGGGCGGTCACACTAAAATCCCCAATTGGTAGAAGTTAGAATTCACGAGATGGTCATTGAGTCGGACTCCAGTGGCTTAATGGTCTATGAGCTTGCCTTGTGACCGAAAGGTCCTGGGTTAGAAACCTGCCGGGGGGTGGGTACTGACGACCATTCTCAACCTAGAATGAAACAGCTCTGCAGTACTCTAGTGCTGGTTTTCAATGGTTCTCGTAACAAATCAAGTCCCTGCAAACGAACTCTTGAAAATAAACCAAATTCACAATTTGCAATTTTTACTGTTTGGGCTGAAATTTAATCGGGGTTTCCCTTTGGAAAACGGATGAATGTTAGTCAGAAAACCAATCAGAAATGCATGATTGACTGGGATGAGTCCTTATATTTTTCCTTCACGTTCCCCAGCGGAACATAGGGCTTCAAGCTAGAGGCTTGAAGTTTCTGTAGCAGTGTTTATTTTACAAGATGGGGTTGCTAGCCTCATGCTCAACCTTTCCTCTTCACCATCATTATTTCTGGCTTAGCGAGGTAAAGGAGTGAGTTGGTGGCCGGGAATCGAACCCCGGACCATGTGCATGGTCGGCGAGCGTCCTAACCGCTATACCACCGATGCGTCGGTGTAATGACATGGTCCGGGGTTCGATCCCCGGCCGGCGCACTCCTTTACCTCGATAAACCAGTAATAAGACTGGTAAAGAGGGAAGGTTGGGCATGAAGCCGGCAACCCCATCCTGTAAAAATGAGCACTGCTACAGGAACTTCAAGCCACCAGCTTGAAGCCCTATGTTCCTCTGGGAACGTAAGTCCTTATATACTACTCAAATTAACCAGTAGTGCATGCTAGCCAAACCAAGGTGATCCAAACACTGGACAGCTCATTAATGGTTCAACTCAACTCAGCTCAGCTCAGGTAGCTGAGTCACCACGCGATTTCTGTCAAGCCAGCTACTTGAGCAAACTGGTTGATGTTATTAGCATAAAAGTATTCATATCAACCAGTCATGCAAACTATATAGCGTCATGTACTTTAAGGACATATTTCTTTGAAGCCGTATTCATTTTTTGATGCAATCTTCATCTTAGAATCTTTATCGGATACCCATTCGTATTAAATGATTAGTAGATAGATAGACAGATGATATTCAGCTCCGTTTCTATGGTTACATTGGGGCGAATTCTCATTATTATTATTATTATTATTATTTAACACGTAGACATAGACTCGGTAATATTCTATCCCAAATATCTAAAGATTTAGACAAACTAACCATTCAAGATTCAGTTTCTCTGTTTTTAATTTGTTTTATCACATAAACAATAACCTTCATTTTGTTTTGCCATAGGAGAAACTTACAGCAAATTGAAATAAATTAAAATAAAATGCTATTTAAGTATTGGTATGTAGGGATTTGATTGATTGATTGATTACAGGATTTCATCATGAGCTGACATTAGTTAGAGAACCATTGGAAAACCCACCAGGGATTACTGGACAACTGTTTCGTCCTAGTTTGGGACTTTTCATCATTAAGCAACCACCGGCGTTAGAACTCAGTTCATTAAGAATTCCTGAGGCATTGGATCGGGTTCCAGTGGCTTAATGGTCTTCGAACTAGCTCACCTTGTAACCAGAGGGTCTTGGGTTCGAACGCCGGTGGGCCCGCACCGGTGGAGAGTCCCGAGCTAGGATGAAACAGTTGTCCATTACTCCCAGGCTTTCCAATGGTTCTCGACTCGATGTCAGCTCATGACGAAATCCTGTAAACAATATGGGTATCCAACGAGATATAGACGGCAAAATCATAAGATATATACACAGAAAAGAGACCTGGAGGGCGGTTTATCTTAACTTCAAAAGTTTCTGACCTATAAGTAACAAAAAAGGATTGGTGAGAACATTATTTGATCGTGTAAGGAAGCTGTGTTCAGAAGAAAAGATTGAGGAAGAGCTATCCATTGTGGAGAAATGCCTACGCGACAACGGTTACCCACAAAAGTTCATTGACAAGTTTGGGAGACGTCATGTTGAAAAAGTGAAAATCAGCACAGTAGAGAAAAAGCCTATCTTTCTGCAGCTTGCATTCAAAGGTGATGATACTGCCAGTAGAATAAGATGCAGACTGAACGCTGCCCTGAAAAGAACATATCCAGCCGCCAAGCTCGTATGTGTTTATCAAGCAACTAGTTGTTTGAGACAATCAAAAGTGGACAAATATCCACCTCATGTTACCTCCAACTGTGTCTACCAATTTACATGTACGTGCCAAAGCACATACATCGGAAGAACAGAGAGAGGGGTTATTGTCCGCATTTCCGAACACATACCAAAGAACCTGAGACTGAAAGGTTCACAAGTATTAAACAGTGCAATTGCGCGTCATCTATTAGACACTGGTCATAACGTAGACAACTTGAAATCATTCAAAATAATCAACAAGCAAAAGAAACCTAACTTGCTACGCTTTGCTGAAGCAATTGCTATCAGACGACTGAAACCAAATCTATGTACGCAGAAAGAGACAGTGGTGAATCTTGCACTGCCCTGGTGACAACAACAAAAATATAGAACAGCTTGTTTTTGTTTCCAAGCCTAATTGCCTAATTATTCTATAAATATTTATAGACTGTCAAATATTGATCACAGTTCGTTTGAATTATTCTATAAGTAGTCAGTGTTTGTAACTCTTAATTAGTTAAATCATTCCGGACTAGTGTTACTTTTACTTCCTACCAATTACTTCTTATGGTCGTGGAAAATTATGTTCAAATCTTTAATGTAATGTAATTCATATTTTTCATCGTTCAGGTTGTAACCAGTTGAGAAGAATCCTCGAAATAATAAAAGATGAGCTCATATTATCCTGGTACAATTGTTGTTCTTGCTTTGTTCAAGTTTATTAATGGGAAGAATTGCATGGAATATGGTATTTGTTGGATGGTGACTACCAGTGGAATCCAAGGGATGTGCTCTTTGTCTTATATAGGAATGCTAGTCAATAATCCATAGGAAGTGGGCAATGCTGATCCCAGTGGAACTCGAAACCAGTATCCATCAAATTGTGCCTAACATGAATTCAGCTTCTAGTGATCACAGGCAAAAAGAAAATCATTTTGAAGCGTCTGAACCAGAGGCTGACGTATCCAGTATAATCAATCAACAGGAATTATAAATAGTAGCTGTTTCCCGTTTGCAGATTAGGTGGTTCTCATATCCCAAGTAGCCCAGAGGACAACCCTTTAGCGCTTGGAAAAAAGGGTGCTGCGTTCGAATCTCACTGGGTGAACACTATCACTCACTCAATGGGGTTCTCGAGGACATCGAGTAGCTGAGAAGTCCCAAGTATCTGAGATCTGACAGCTAGTTGCCACCCGCAAAATAACATCCCGCTGATCCTCGGATGTTGTCAAAATATCCGTACGCGGCAGGAGGGGACATTTCAATACAGAGAACTAAAAATTTGGTCCAATTTATAATCATGTTCACTAATATTAGTGTTCTCTTGGGTTCTGAGTGGAGTATAGGACTTCATCAGATCGTCTCCACTTTGTCCTATTTTCTGAAGTCCTCTTTATTTCTATGGCTACATGATCGCCCATTGTCTCACATCCCGTCCACACACTATCTTCTCAGTATGTCACTTATGGACGCCCCACTTGTTGTTTTCCACTCGCGTTCCACTCGAACAATGGCTTTATATGCGATATCACTCGACGGTCTCCTCAGCATCTGCCCAATCCATCTCCATTTTCTTCTACGTATCTATTGAGCAATAGGTTCTTTGTTGGTTCCTTCCAAGAGTTTCTATTTGCTAGTTCTTTCTGGTCATTCGATCTTCAATATCGAGCAAGCGAAAGGTGCGATTGTTGATAAAAGTCGGTAGCTGGTCTGTTCAAAATGCTTTTTGACTGTAGCGGCAAGTTTCTGGCCCCATTGGAAGAACTGACTGATCTAAGATTTGTGTTGAATATCCGAATCTTCTTTATGCTGGGTAGAAGTGCAGACGATATTTTAATTTAATATGATTTCTGACTGTGGCTTGATTCCACACCGTATTTTCGGTACAAGTATGGAATCTCCAGCATATGATATCGGTAGCCCGGAATTTTGCAGGCCGACTAT